CCCTCACCTACCCACCCCTGTCCGTGTAGCTTCAAGGCCTATGCTCCGCCCACCCTAGGGCTCCTAGGCGAGCAGCTTGGTACTCGTGCAGTCCAGGAACAGCTGGGGCAGGCCCAGCTGTGCAGTCCTGGAAGCCGTCCTGGGGCTGGTACCTTTCCCCTGGGCCCCACAGGGGAGGGCCGCAAGCACAGAGGGGCCCAGTGTCTGGGCAGTGGAGGCTTTGGGCAGGAGCCAGGCCGGGGCAGTGCTGGCGCTGGGGGGTCATGGCAGCACGGCTGGGCCCTGCCCTGTCCAGGACCCTCCTCCCAGCCACCCCAACACCAGGCCAGGGTGTCAACACCAGGCAGGCCTCCGCGCACACACACCCTGCCCTGCTGTCGGGCCAGGAGCCTGTGGCCCCTCCCTCCTGCCCTGCCCCCTCTGGTCTTACTCCCAGTCTCCCCCAAATGCCCCTCACCGTGACCCCCTGCTCAGGGTCCTCCTGTAGGCCCTGCCATGGGCAGAGGGTGTAGACAGATGCAGGCCAGAGTTAGTGGACACTTCTCCAAGTCTGCTCCTCACAATCCCTCGCCAACCTCACTGTCCGGGCTCAAAGGCACCCCCTGGCCACGTATGTCCGTGCAGGTCTTTGGGAGAGGGCCCACTGTGGAGGCACCACTGCATGGCGGCCTGCCACCGAAACCCCAGCCCCGGAGGGCCCTGCCCCAGCCTGCCTTCCTGGGTGGGCGTGGCTCCACCCGGCCAACCCCCCAGGACCTCGGAGAGGGAGAGTTGCTGCGCAGGGTGGCCAGAGAGCCCCTGTTGGCGACCTGGGACCTCCCCACCGCCGGCCAACCCAGCAGACGCCAAGGAAAGGCGCTGGCCTCACTGCTGATTCGGGCTCTTAGGAGGGGGTGGCCTCGAGGCCTGCGGCTGGACACTCGCGTTCTGCCAGAAAGGCGCGCTGCGCTCCAGGAAGGCGCGGAAGGCGTTGCTGGACGCGGCGGACCTGAGCGGGTGGGGCAGCAGCACGTCCTTGTCCACGTCCTCC